TTTTAAAATTAAACACTATCTACAGATTTGCATCAAGGCGTTGTTTTTTGATAATGATTTTAATCATTGTCACATATCATCTATACTGCACCCAATTATACACACTGTGCCGGGACACTGCTGGTTTTTTTTTAAATAGCGATTAGTTGAAATAGTAGCAGTGGGTTTACTTTAATTATTTTATTATTAATTTTAACAATAGAAGTTATTGAAGATACAGTTATAACTTTATTTGATCTTTTAAGATCTATATCATGAAAGTTATTATCTACCATTGAGTTTACTAGAACAAGACCAATTTTGGACACTTTATGACAATTAAATTTATCATTACCAGAAATTCTGGCTGGGTTGACAAAAGAGAACATGAGGTAGGTGAAATGAGGAGATCAGTGACAATAGGCGAGAGTGTGAATGGGGAGGTAGAAGGTTTTAAGTATTTAGGATCAATAGTGCAAAAGAGCGATGGTATTGACGAGAATGTAAGACACAGGTTTAAGTGCGGGTGGTTGAAGTAGAGAGAAGCGTCTGGTGTCTTATGCGATAAAAGATTTCCAATGAGGCTAAAAGATAAATTATACAACAATGTAGTGAGACTAGCTATGATGTATGGTTCAGAGTGTTGGGCGGTTGATAAGAAAGTAGAGCAGAGAATGAGTGTAGCAGAGAAGAATGCTTAGTTGGATGAGTGGAGTGACTAGAAAAGATAGAAAAGGAACGAGCATATAAGAGGGAATGTAAGTGTAGCGTCAATCGTGTATAAGATGAGAGAAAATAGACTTGGATGGTTTGATTATGTTATGAGGAGAGAAGAATCGGAAGCTGTAAGAACAGTTATAGAAATTAATGTTGAAGGAAGAAGAGGTAGAGGAAGACCAAAAAAGAGATGGAGGGATGCTATTGAATGCAATTTGAGGACAGTGGATGTGAGCGAAGAAGATGTGAGAGATCGTGTCAAGTGGAAGTTTAGGATGAGGGTGGCCGACCCCAAGTAGTTGGGATTAAGGCAAATAAAAAGAAAAAGATTAGCAAAAATTCTGGTGGCAATTGACATAATATAAATGTTGTTTAGGAATGTACAATTTAGCGTTTAGTTGGGTTTAAACAATATAGCGTCAAATCAATTACTTACTTTATCGGTTGTATCTTATTATACACTACACTTTAATGATACTATAAATAAATAAACTTACACATACACACATATGCATTTATAACATTTTGTCTAATGTAAGTATAACATGATAAAAAGTAACCGTAAAATGAAAAAAATTGGAAAATAAATTTTAGTACTCATATTAAATGTAATGTAACTTGAAAAATATTTGTTTAAATGAAAAAATACAAGATACCTTTTTTGTTTAAAATTGTTTTTTAAAGAACTTTTATACGAAACTTTTTTTTGTAAGTTAAATATTTTTTGAGAAAATTAAAAAAGCTCATATTTTTGAACTTTTGCGAGGCTGTAAAAAAAAAGCTCAAGTCCAATCGATGAGGACTTTTAGTATGTCATTATACATATCTTAATTCAACTTTTTAAAAAATAAAAATTTGGTTGGGAATTTTTTCCGCCATTCGCCAAAATTACTCCTTCGTTGACTGGCCTATTATAAAACTGGACGTGTTCGTTCCGGAGTACGATCAAAACAGGCCGTGTCAGACGAGCCCATGGAGTCCTTCCAAAGTCCCCTTCCAGACACGTACATGACCATCGGCCGATACATTTATTTAGATTCTTTGTTGCTATTTTGCTGACATTGTAGAAGGATTTTGTAAAACTACGGGATTGTACATGTTGGGAAGGAACGGATGTGTGTGCATGGCGTGATTGTGTGAGTTGTGTGTGTATCTGCAGTCAGTGATAGAAAGTGTTGATTGTGTTTTGTAATTTATTGGTGTGTGGGTANTCAGTGATAGAAAGTGTTAATTGTGTTTTGTAATTTATTGGTGTGTGGGTAAAAGATGAAAGAATAACAGAAAAACATTTTGTTCGGTTGTGTGAAGGGCCTATTTACAACACTACTCAATATTCTATGATATTTATACAAAATCACTTATTGTATTAACGATAGGGTAGTTATCGTAATAACATTAAAATTGATAAAATGCGAGTCTTTCCGATTTAAAAAAAAATTGATAATCTATTATTTTTTAGGATTTTTTCCCATATTATTATTATTTAGCTCATATAAATTCATATATTATATAAGTTCAATAATTTTGTTATATAATTCTCATGGAACCTCGCTTTTCAATTTTTACTATTATTAAATATTACTACTTTTACTAATAAAAGTTTAAATATCAATATTTTTAAGTTATAAGCTTTCATTTCAATTAACTTAAAAAAGAAATTGAAATGAAATTTTTTATTTCAAAAAAAATAGTTAATACGTGACATTTTGTATTGAAATATTGTATGGATAATTTTTAACATATCAAAAATAAAATAAATAATTATATTTAAATACTCGTTTTTACTAATTAGTAATAATCTCAAAAAAAAAAAAAAAAAAAACGGTAGNAACGATTTGAATTTTATTTCCAACTAAAAAAAGATTAAGAAAAAAAACGGTAGCACAGTGGGGTCGCTGCACAGTATAGAAGTGGCATAGATGGGACAAGTATAGATGATATCTGACAGTGATTAAAATCACTATCATAAAAAACGCTTCAATGCAAATCTGTAGATAGTGTTTTAGACATCTAAAAAAATTTCACTTAAAATTTTTGTTAATTTATGTACAAACACAAAGGTAATATTTGTTAAAAACTTCAAACAAATCTGTAGATAGTGTTTAATTTTAAGAAATTGGTAGATTATTTCAAAAGTAACAATAACTCTTATTTCCTTAATTTTATCCCGATTAGTTATTTGATTTATAATTATAATATAGGAATAAATAATAATTATAGTAATTAAATTTAGTATGAAATTGATATTCAATAATTTAATATTGTAATTTTACGGAGATATTATAAAAATAATAAAGTAGTTGTATATTTCTTTACTTTTAACGTGTATAAAAATTTAAAGGGCTTGATGCAATACTTTTCAATAAAAAAATGTTTGTCACTTTTAACAAAATTTTAAGTTTTATACACTGGACTACAAGGAACTTTCATCAGAAACAAAAATATACTTTTCTAAATCAACTTTTTGCGATGTTTTCAAATGTGAAATTAGACTTTTTCTATCACTTTTAAATTATAATATAAATAATATTATTAAAAAATAAGTATTTACATTAAAAAAATAATTAAGAACAAAAAAAAAAATTGTTTTAAATTAACACTGATTTTGATTATTAATATAATCAAAAATTAGAAAAATGACATATTAAACCTATTATTTAATCCTTTAAAGTTGATTTTTGTGAAAGGTTTTAACAAAAAAAATTAGTTTATAACCATAACTTTTAGCTCAATTTGCAAGTTTGAAATTGGCATCATTAAATAAATATTTTATGAGAATTAAAAAAATTATATCGTTAAGATTATTATGCAGTTAGGAAATTTTATAATAACTATTTATAGTAAATTTATCAGAAAAGCTCAATATTTTTTTGCATTTTTATCGTAATAGTTAACTTAAATAGGAATAATAGTAGTCATTTCCTAGTAACTTTTGGTGTTTAAAAGGATTCTAGAATTGAAATATTCAGAACTTAATTAATATTATAGAATTACTTAANTCCTAGTAACTTTTGGTGTTTAAAAGGATTCTAGAATTGAAATATTCAGAACTTAATTAATATTATAGAATTACTTAAACTAAAAATTTAATCAAAAATTTGTTAAAAAAATCTACTCAATTGAGCATTTAAATTAATTTAATTAATTCAGTATAAAAACTGAATTAATTTTAATGATTTACTTTAACAAAAATAACTAATCAAAAAAAAAAAATTGTTAAAAATATCTAAAAATCCATTGTTAATTCAGGAGAACCTTACAATCATTTTTTATAGAAATGAGAAATGAGTAGTAGCACACACAAATAGGGTAAAAAAAATTATTAAATTACAAAGTAAAATGATTTAATTTTGTAATTGAAACTGATCAAATCGAACTTGATTCGTCAATATGTAAACATTATAAATTAATGATTTTATTGTCTGTATGGAGATCATGGGATAAGTAACTGTTTAATTGATATATTAGAATTTTGTTTCAATTTTTGAGGATAATATCTTCAACTAGATACGAATTGTAATATTTGACGTATCATTGAAAAAATAGGTCAAGTTAGAGCAGAGAAAATAAATGATAGTCACAAAAAATATAGTTTAAAAAACTAAAAAAACACGCTTTTAAAGCACATCGTACTAAAAAGTTAAAAATAATTTTTAAAATAATTATGAACAAAAAATACTGATAAATTAGCGGAACGTTGGGAAAATGTTGTACACCAGCTACAGAGCATAGGTGTTAAATTTAGGTATAATTTCTATCAACTCGTCAACAAATTTTTGTAATTTCAATTATGATAACAGTTAAAAATATAATGAGAGCTGAAATTGAGTGGTAACTAACAGCCCCTAAATTAAATAAAATTTAATTAGGCCTTTTACGTATTTAACTACTTTATTTCATCTCACCTGTTGCCCAACTAAAGTACATACAATGTTGTTTTGAATATAAATTTATATTATTTTAGATTTTTCCAGGGTTCAAAAGCGTCATCTAGATGAATATTCTATTAACAATCTGCATATTAATATATTTATATTAAAAAAAAAATAATAATAATGATTTATTTTTGCCGATTATTAGATCAAACGATATTTTCATTTCGAATTAAATTGATGATACAATTTTGAAAATAGTCCATCACTAGATAAAATTCTGCTGACTACAATTTTCGCTTATTCTATAGCCCCTTTTGTAACCTTATCTGTGGTAATATTATTATGCATAATGATAACATAGAATAAAAATTTATTTGATATTGTATTATAATATCAAACGATATTTATCAGTATCTTTATTAATGAAAAATTTCAATGCCGTGAACATATAACAAATATTACAATAAAATAATATTTTATTAGGTTGAAATTTGTTTGTTTTTTATTGATTCATATGATTCAATTATTATAAAAGTTTTATTGTTTTCATTTTAGGAATAAATGTTTGTTAACAATTTGAGTTGTACTAAATACTTATATGGGTTACAGGTGTTATTTTGTTCTGTTTCTTGAAAGTATTTCAGTATTTTAGTATTTTTCTTTTTTTTAAAGTAAATATTTTGATTAAATCGTTTTGATTAATTGTTAATCAAATATTGAACAATTTAAGTTGTATTTATTTAATTTAATTTCAGGTTTACTAATTATTTTAGGTGTTATTATTGTATTACTTTAATTATAAATTTAAAAAATGGAGAGAGATTATGCTCCACTCAGTGCTGCTTGTGTTAGAGCCTTGAATGATAAAATGTATGACAAAAGAAAAGCAGCAGCATTAGAAATTGAAAAGTAAGAATTTATGTTTATAATTAATAAAAAGTTGAAATAATTTTTATTGTGCTATTTTTAGGATGGTGAAAGAATTTGCTGCTGTTAATAATTCTATGCAAATACGACGTCTATTAAAAGTATTGGGACAAGATTTTGCTATGTCCAAGAATGCCAATGCTAAAAAAGGAGGACTCATAGGACTAGCTGCCATGGCAGTGGGTTTAGGAAAAGTATAAATTTTAAATATTTCATTTAAAATTGTGTATTATAAAGTTTTTATCTTATGTCAGGAGACAGCTACATATATAGATGGCCTAATTGAACCTATATTGGTCAACTTTAATGATGCTGATTTAAAAGTTCGGTATTATGCTAGTGAATCACTATATAATGTTTCCAAAGTAGCACGTAGTGCTGTATTAAAACATTTTCCTGAAATATTTAAAGCTTTAAGTAAATTGGCAGCTGATCCTGATCAAAATGTAAAAAATGCTTCCGAACTTCTTGATCGTTTAATGAAGGTAGTAATTTTGTAATATTTTATAATATATTTTCGCTGGTATAGGTATTGTTCTATATAAAAGGGAGTACTCCCATTAGTAAACTGTATAAAAACTGTAAAAATTATATTTTGTAATTTAAATTATACTATTCAATTATATTTTCTCTGAGAGATCCATTCCCCTCAATCTTCTTAACCACAATTTTTTTTTTTATTTTATCAGAAATTAAGTAACAATATTACTTATTATTTATTTTATACAATTTACAGGGCTGAGCTCTAATATTAAAAATAGTTATATAGTATTATATAGATAGATAACTTCTAACAATAACATGAGAACAATAGTAATAAATTAGCATAGAGTTAATTAATAAACATAAAAATTTTAATTGAAATAGAATATAAAGAACTTTTTCTTTATATTCTATAAAGAATATTTATGTTCTATAAAAGAAAAAAGAAGTTAGCATTTGTAGAACATATATGATGTATAATAGAGGGGTTTGAAAGTATTGTAGTAAATAAACATTGTATAACAAAAGAGACTAAAGAATTTTAAACTAAAAATGTTTCAAAAAAGAAATATTATATTTGAAGTTGAAATATTTTGTTTGAATAACACAATAGTTTTGATAGATCCAAAGGAACATAAAGGATAAGATGTATAAGTTATATTTAAGTGCGTCGATGAATCGCATGTGGGTTTTTTGAATTAAACTTCAACAAATAAAACATAATAGCTAAACCAATCTTACTAGCATTTGTATGGGGCTTCTATTCTATGTGGTAAGGCAGATTTTTTTCTTGTTTATAATGGGTTTTATCACAAATAAATGAGTCTTTAGCTTAAAAGTTAGGGCTATATTTGACATCCTGAAAAGAATCTAAGTAAGAACAGTTTCTTCAAGTGAGCCAAAGATTAATTTAAATGGCCAGCTGGAGGTTGGAGAACTATTTCAATTTATAGTCTTTACAACGTTACTAATTGACAGTCCAATTTTGGATAAATTTTTTTTAAGATTATTTGAAGAAAATGAAGATATTAGCCTGGTTAAAATAGATAAAGATAAGTTTAGACATAGTAGAATTGAAACTGGAAAAATAATAACAAAGAGAGTTTAAGTCTCCAATTTAAAGTTAGAAATGGTTTGACATAGTAATAAAAACTATTTTTGAGATAATGAGATTATTATTAACTCATGTTTTAACTTAAGTAATAACTACTTGGAACTAAAAATTTAAACTTTATAAGTAAAAGTAACAACAACAAAAAATTAAATGAGATAAAAATTATAAATTTAATGAGAAATTACAATATTGATATAAAAAAGAATAATGTTTTGTTATTATTTTAATTAGTTTATATTATCTATATTTATATAAAGATCTAGAGTTTTTAAAATATTATTTTTATTATTTATTTAAAATTTATTTTATATCAAAATAGAAGCAATTAAATTAGTACATTTTTAATTTATTCTGAGATAGAAATATTTAAATTTGACAAATTTCATATGGTAATTATATTTATTGTAATAGCGTTAGAGTGGTTTAATGACAATTTATTTTTATATTTTTCAGGATATTGTGACTGACAATTCTAATGTATTTAATTTAGTTGGCTTTATTCCATTATTACGGGAACGAATTTATACAGATAACACTTTTGCTAAACAATTCATTATATCTTGGATTACTATATTAGATAATGTACCATCATTAGATCTTGTTATTTATTTACCAGAAATTTTGGATGGTTTATTTAAAATGCTCTCTGATCCTACCTTTGAAGTAAAAAAAATGTTGGTAAAATAGTATTTTTGTTGTTTAATAAATCATTAGAAATTGTGTCAGCTGAATAAAACTTAAGATATTTCATTGAAAATAATACTAATTTTACTAAAATAACTTTTCAGTCATAATATAATTATTTTAGTGTAGATTAATGTTCTATATTTTATATAAATGGATACTTGCAGCTTTATATTTTGATAGTAATTTTGTAACATGTTTTAAATAAAAATATTTGGAAGTTAATATTGAGTTAAACATGTATAAATAATACTATTTATTTTATTTGTTTCTCTCATATACCTTTTAATATTATATAAAAATAATTCCTGCCGTTTACAGTTTTTGTTATTTTTATTCAAATTCTTTTTGAACCTGTTATAATACAAACTAGATGTAACTCTAGTTACTTTCATAACATATTGAATGACCCTTTGTGACTCAGTATAATATAAAATCAGATTAAAATACAAATTGAAATATTAAAGTTTTTAAATGTTTTATTTTTTAAAATATACCTTTATGTATGTTACAGGTGTGATGCTGTATTGAGAAAATTTTTAGAGAATTTACAAAAAAACCCAGAAAAAGTAAATTATGCAGATATGATAAATATTATTGTTCTTTATTCATGTTCTACTGATGATTTTGTTCAAGTACTTTATTATAATAAGAATATTTTTTTATATTGAATATTTATAAAACTATATGTTTTAGTATACATCAATGTGTTGGATTAAAGAGTTTATTGCCATGTATGGAGCAAAAATTTTACCATTTACATCTAGTATTTTAAAAGCCTCATTAGTTTCAAATTCTAACAATGAAACAGAACCACAAATACGTAATTAATAGTTTAGATAATTTAAATAAAAGTTTTAATTAGTTGTAATAGTAAAAGTAATAGAACTAATATGTAGATATTAGTTAAAGATTAAAATTCTGTATGTTTAATAACATTTATTCTAATTATGTACATTATTGCTGTTATAAAAAATATCATCTAGTGATAAAACATGTTATTCCACTACCTCTGTAAATGTATGGATTAAGTTTTATTTTGATAAAAAAATAATTACTTAGTTTGAAGGCCATACAAAAAATTAGTTTTTCTATTATCAATCACAAAAATCAATATGGATGATTAAAAAACAAAATGAAAAAAATTTTCTACAATTCTTATTGCGAGAAAATGTACATTTTAATTGCAGTTAACTAACTGTGTATTAAATGATTTAATGTTAAATATTAGCTTGCATAGAATATATTTCTATTTCCTTTTACATGGAATTCCATCTTGTATATTTTAATGAATATTTTAAATGAGTACTAAGAATTGGATAAAAAAAATGAATATCACATAATTTTTTTATAAGATTAATGAAAAGCAAATGCAGTAGTAATGTGTCTTACTAGTATGTAAGACACATTAATTTATTAAGAAATTATTTATAAAATTTCCTCTAAACTTTTTCATTGGTATTATAAAAATAAATTTATATTTTTGTGTACAATTTTGTTGCGATATAAATTTTAATGTACTTTTGCTATTATTATAGTTATACATTTATCATGGAAATATAGAGATATAATGTAGTGTTTCCCATTTATATACTCTATTTTAATGATATAAATATATTTTGGGGATACTTGAGCCTATTATATTTTAAATTTTGTTTATTTTGTAATTAATTTTTGTACTGCAATGATTTCTTTACATTTTTGCATTAATAATACTATATTCATTTTTACAAATCTGAATTATGTTATTTTTTATATTCAGGTGTCAAACAAACTGCTAAATTAGTTAACTCAACATTAATGGATTTAATTAAGGAAGTTGAAGATGATAATGGGAATCTTGATGAAAATGAAAAAGTGAGCAAAATAAAAATATATTTAATAGTTAAATTGATTTTTGGATTAATTGAGTTATAAGTATTTATTAGGATGAAAATTTAGATTTGTCATCTGTAATTGTCGTGCTTACTAAAGAACTCTGTGGATCATCAGTTGAAAATAAAATAACCGTATTAAAATGGATTTATCATTTATTTAATCATTTACCAAATAGAGTAAGTAAGTATGTTGTTTTAAAAATTTAACTAGCTATGTGAATCGACTTGAATACTATATTCATACTTATGAATCTATTGTCAACAGATGATATTTTATCATGAAGTTATTGTCATTGTATAAATTCTGTCTTAAAAATAATGTTTAATAGATTTTAGTTCACATGGAATCAATATTTCCTCTGCTACTCACCACATTATCATATCCTAATGAAGAAGTTGTGCAAAATGATTTAAAGGTTATCGCAAAAGTTATTTCTCCACAAATTATTCAAACTAATACAAAACAGTATTTTGATGATTTCATTGTTAGTTTATTGAAACAATTTTGCTGTGATAAAACATTGTTAAAAGAACGTGGTCAGTTCATTATAAGGTATTTTATGATTTGTTAATTATATTATAATTTTTTTTTAGTGTTATTTAAAATTATTATATGTTCATTTTTAATTTTACAGACAAATTTGTGGCTTATTAAATTCAAATGAGATTTATAAAACCCTTTCTACATTTTTATTAGAAGAAGACAATCTTAAGTTTGCTTCAATGATGGTAGGAACTTTAAACACTATATTATTGACATCTCCAGAATTATATGACTTAAGAATGCAATTGAGAAATGTTAAAAAAAAAGTAATTTTTTTATATGTTTAAAAAGTATAAAATTCATTTAAAGTTTATTTCTAGAAAAAAAATTAAAAATTTTTTTTAAATATAATAATTTTTAATTTTTTATGTAGGAAAATCAAGAGATTTTTCTTTGTCTGTATAAAACTTGGTGTCATAATCCAGTAGCAATAGTTGCACTTTGTTTGCTTACTCAAAATTACTTTCATGCCTGTAAACTTATACACACTTTGTATCCTTTTTAATTGAAAAGATTCTCTAAAATTATTTGAAAAATGTGAAAATTTTTAATGTTAAATTATTAAAATAATTCTAAAATTAAATTTTTTCAAAATTCTAAAAAAAAAGAACAAATACAATTTTTTTATACAATTGTGCTATATAATATGAAAAAAAGCTTTTATGTTATTAAAAAAATATTATATAAATAATAAATATTTGTAATGGAAATTAATTGAAAGAAATTATTATTTATTAATAATTTTTTTTTTTTTTAACGAAATTGTATTTAATTGTCCTTTTAGTTTCTTTTAATACAGGGAGGCAATATTTATTAAATTTAAAAAATATGAATATTCAAAAAATGATTGTTTATTAAAGAAAACATTAAAATGTTGTTATTCTTCTCATGTTTGTTGTTGATGGGGAATATTCCAAAATATTGTGTAGTTCATACTATGATAATAATTTTAGATTGTATTACAAACTTCACATCAAAATATTTTACTTAACTATTCATTTTTCATAGCGCATCTATGGATGTTACTGTAGATTTACTCATTGAAGTTGATAAATTAATTCAACTTATTGAGTCACCCATATTTATTTGTAAGTAATTAATTTTAAATATTTATAATTTAATTATAATATTATATAAAAATATATAACAAGTTGGGTAGTAGCTCATTTTTTTAATTTTTGAAAATAAAATTAATTTTTAAGTAGTTTTAATTCAATTTTAAGTATATATCTTAACATAATAGTAAATAAATACAATTTTTATTACATTTCTAAATTAAAATACCCTTTAGAAAGCCCTTCTAAACTGAAATAATTTGGGTTTTTGATCATTTTTCTTTTAACTAGTAAATTTTATTATAGTACTTAAAAAAAAAAAACGATTGCAGTACCAAAAATTTTATGAAACTGTCTTTGAAAGTTTTAATTGAACTTGTATCTTTATAATGCCATTCATTTTATTAACATTAGCTTTATAATGGTTGTGATTCAAAAGTAATTTCATAATATTTTCAGTTTCTACAATTATTAACCTAACAAATTCTTGAAAAAAAAATTTTTATAGGTCAACTAAATTCCTAAATATGGCAACAATATTCAAAAAACCGAAATAATTTTGGTTCTTAGACCTTCTCTTTAGTTTTAAAATCAAATTTGAGTAACTACTTATTATTTAAGTATGTTGATATTATGTAGGAAATTTAATTTTAATAACATAATTTTTTATAATTTTATCATATTTGGTTAGATTTAAGAATGGAGCTTCTAGAAGAACCAGTAAATCAATATTTGATACAAGCTTTGTATGGACTTTTAATGATAATGCCTCAATCAGAAGCATTTCATTTATTAAGACATCGCTTGAAATGTGTACCCAATATTACTTATAATGGACAAACAACTCAGTATGTTAAAATAAAGTACATAATCATAATTTATTACGAATGATGCACTTTACAGGTTAAAATATAAAACAGCCGATACTAACTTATCAGAAGAATTTGATTCAAATTCAATGCTTAGTCACTTCATGGAATTGCAAGAAAAACATAAACTGTATCAAAGAACTATTCTTTATAGTACACAAACCGATAAAACCATTACCAAAGTAGAAATATAACATTAGTTAAAATTTGTGCAAATCATATTGTTAAATAATTTTTGCTAAAGTTTATAAAAATTTTAAAAAAATAATATTAAATAATGCAAATTTTTATTCATAATTAGAAGGATTATGTGTTAATAATAATAATGAATTTTATATAATTTTTTTTTTTTGTATTTATAAATTAAATTATTTTTTAGTTAAAAGTAATAAAATACATAAATTTAAATATTACTATTTTATAATTAGTCATGTAAAATGTAAGACCGTAGGGTACAAAATCTCTATAGTTTTCAGGTTTCTATTCTCGAATAACCTTGAAATATGTTTTTCCATTTTTAAAAATTTTCTAAACTATAAGAAGTCATTTTTGAAATCAGGTTTTATACATCAATTTTTGATTAGGTGGGCGGTATTCACCCACGCTGCTTACTTATTTCTATAAATTAAATACAAGCACCGAATTTGAAAATATAGAAATTGTAATCTAAATGATATTAAATTAACATATAATGCGATCAATAGCATAATAATACGCTTAGATTAATCAGAGATATTTGATTCGGATTTGTTATTTATTAACTATTGGAAAAATGTTTAAAATACTCATAAAACATTAGGACACACTTGTAATTTTATAATTTTTGAAATGGTGCAATTTATAACTGACCTATTCAATAGGAAAAATAATATAGCACAGTTTACTACAGTTTACCTTTATTGTCCTGGAGAGTAACCCAGCGCAATTTACACTTTAGGGTCAAATCGGCACCATTTACTACTATATTTTTTATTTAAAAAGATTAAGAATCATGAATATGTTAAGGAAATAAGAGTAAATAAAAACTAATTTTTTTGTTATAACAAACAAGTCATAATCACTAATAATTTTACATTTTTTCCAAATTTTTAAAAAGACATACATAGGAACAGAGTATTAAATATTTTAACAACTTATAACAGTGCGTCAACTACTAACATAGGTGCATTGACACATATGATTATTTAATATGTTATTTTTATGAATATATTTGTAAATAATACATATTATTAATAATTAAATACATGTATATAATTTTATTATTTATAAGTTTTAAAGTGTATATTTTGTTTATTCATTTTAAACAAAACTGTTTACTTGAAAATTTATCGTAACTGTTGGTTATAATAAGTATAAAAATGACTAAGCAAGTTGGCACATAAACATTATTTTATTAATATATGAATTATTAATATATTTGAGTAATAGTAGACAAGTAAAAATATAACAGTATACTAATATCTTCGTGTAATTTAATTTTATTCTGTATACTTTTTTATTTACCGTCAAATAGAGGAAAACAATTCATTTTTTTAGAAATAGATCACATAATAAAGACCTAATAATTGAGCGGATTAAAAAAAAAAAGAACAAAATCTAAAGAAAAAAAATACAAATATAGTATAAATGGAGAATAACAGATAATTCGACATATGATAAATCACCAAAGTTTTTATTAAAACGGTTTGGCCTAGAATTTTAACATAATACAGCATTGTGTATATTGCAAATGTATACACAAAAAATACCAGAATAAATTATATATCTTTAGAATAAATAGAAACTTTGTTCATTCGGGTAACATTTGTACTATGGTTTGATTTAAAGATATTTTTTTAACGCGAGCAAAATAAAACAAAAATAGATGCTACACAATATAAAATACATCGCCAAAAACACTTTTATTGTTAAAAATGAAACAACATATAATAGATTTGTAGAATAGGTCACTAAAAAAATGTCATTTCTTTAATTTTCTGTAAAAGTTGGTAACTAAATTTGAATAAAAATATTTTATGTATTTTAACTTAATCAGATCATCTAGTTCTACGTACGCAACTAGTAGTTACTTATCCTTTATGATTCAATTAATTTACCTCAGAGTTTAGTCTTAATTATTTATAAAAATAAAATTAAAAGCTAACATACTGGAACTAATCACCTATTTACAATATAACAGAATAATTAGGCTCGTGTATATACATTAATACATATATGAAGTGAAATTTTCTTGGGTAATAATTTTGATAATTATGATACTTTAGAAGTGATGTTTTTGTTACTAACTAAATAAATGAATATAATCAATGACTTATTTTTCATAACTATTTGTTAATATTTAATGTACTGTTGTTACAAAATAAATTAAATAATTGTCAATTTAATTTAAAACGATATATTTTCCGTTTTTACTTTAATAAATATTTAACAATTTTCATTAATATTACTAGATAAATAATTGACTCATAAAATGAATTTTATCTAAAATTATCCGTTAATTCTATCAGTACCTATTTTAAATCTATGCAAATAAAATTTTCATGATTATCTCAACAAGATAAATCGAAATCTTGAATAACTTTTGATAATTGTTCTTTTTAGAACAATGTTAATACTATACGATTGATGTCATATTTTATGTACATAAGTTACACGTCCACAATGATAGTTACACTATAATAATACTACATTTAATTATTGGTACGTTTATAACAATAAAACTCGATGGGTTCTATGTAACATTATTTTTGTAAGTTTTTTTTTTAATAGAAAAAATGTAAATCTTAGCAATATACGTAATTATTTACATTTTTTATACATAAATGAATGAAAGCTCCAAAAAAGCTTAACTAATATGCATCCAGAAGTGGTCCAAGAGAGAGCGTGTGACGTTCCTAAACCAAATGATATAATGGATGAGATTAACTTTAAATCAGAAATTTAGCCTCAGATTGGTGAATTCACAGAGTTGAGAATCTGTTAACGAAAACATAAGCAAAAAAAATGTTGTTTAAAAAACTTTCTCCCGTATTATGAAAAATTATAGAACCACCTCTACATATACCTACTTATTTATTATTTCACTAAAATCTTTCATGTAATGACAATCCATTAACGACATTATACTTAACAGTTTTTATCATACATGCATTGAGTAAAGAAAGAAAAGTAATATTGAATGTGTATTGAAAGTTATTGTGATTAACTATTGATTAAAAACCCAGCTAATCACAATTTATTAATTTGAAAAAATTACATAATTATTAATTTGTAATCAATACATTTTTTTCCAATTTCAAAAAATAGCTATTATGTTATTTTTAATGAAAGATTTATAATTTTTCGAATAGAAACCCTAATAAAAGAATCTACTGTTCAAGTGTTATAAGTAATTACAGAAACAAAGTTAATATTAGTAGTTCATTTAACTAATAAATTAACAATATAATGATCATATTTACATCTTAATATTATGTAACTATACAGAGTGTACAAAAGTAAGAAAACCTACTTACTGATACTCTATATAGTTTTATTACAAGGAATTTATTATCTACAAGATAAAATAATACATAAATTTAAAATAATAGAATTACGAACATAAACAATTCAAATTGATTAGAATTTAATTTGAGTAAAAATTGTTAAGATTATAAAACACTTAACAATTATTCTATGTAACAAATAAGATTAACATAAAATTAAATAACTTTTATGATACTCTAAACTTATACCAACATATTTATTTAAAAAAAAAATGAAACAATAAGATAACTTAGAATTATAACGTAGTTAAAGTAGAAATATTTTCTAATAACATTTCAAATATAGGTAACACACGTCAGAAATATAAGGCAACAAAATTATAAGTGGTAATTCTATATTCTTACATTTAAAACAAGTGTAATAAATCACAAGAATCAATTAAGGATTTCTATTTTCTTTGGTTTTACTTAACTTTATTTTAAATTTGAAAAAGTAAACTTAATAAAATATTCTATTTGCATAACAATAATTGTGGCAAAACATAGATATTTCAAAATACAGTTAAGAAAGTAAAAGTTTTAATGGGAAATTAAGTTTATAGGTCGAAATCTTGATAATAATTTATAAAAAATGTTCAATTAAGTAATACATGAAAATAATGAGTCACATTAATTAAACAATTTTTTTTTGTAAAAAGTTAAAAATTTTACCATAGTAGAATTTTAAACAATAAATGAATGCATTAATTTAAAGTCTATGGGCAAGTAATATAAAACAATGTGTTCTTATAACTATCGAGTAAGAGTATACGGATAAATAGTGAAGCAAAAGTTCTATTATATCAAATTTTTTTTAATTTTCTGTAATTAAATAAGAATATTGATTTAATATTTTAATCACAAAGATATTAAATGGCAGTGAATTTATTTTTACAAAAGTAAAATAATTATTTAAATAAACATGATTTTGATTTCAATTTGAGTTTTTTTTGGTATTTTAAATGATGAATAATATCTTAAACTGACATGAACCATTTATTGTTATGCAAGATTAAACAATTAACTTAACTATGTAAATGTATGAATAAATTATTAAAAACTCTATAATATACTTAACGAAATTAGTTTAGGGAAATTAACAATAAACACAACCCCAAGAAGTAGTCCAATGCACAACGACTAATAAAATAATCTTAATCTTTGGTTGACATAAAACAAAAGGATAAACAAATATAAATATACTTATTAATATAGATATAAATTTGATTAAATACGGTTTTGTTCATTTTGTTTCAAATTTTGTAAGAAGTACAATAATTACAAAGGTTATATTGTTTAAAGATAATTTTATCATAAAAAATTGACGAAATTTTTTACTTTGCGAAATCGTATTTTTGTTCTTTTTATAAAGACTAAATAGTATGGCGTTGAATATAAACAAACAATATATTCGTGACATATGAATGAATAATAAAATTAAGCTTATGTACATTTAATTAAAGTTTTAAAATTCATTAAAAAAAATTATTTAATTAATAGACAAATAAATAAAAAAGGCGATGATAATGATATTTCTATACGAGAATGGTTATAATGTGTTTAAATAATACAATAAATAATTTGTATATATATATAATATGCAACAATGAATTATATAAATCTAAAAACAATTAACGTAAAATATATGTAAATTTAAACAAAACATAATCATTTAATAGATGCTGGACAATTTTGAGAAAGTTGATGGCCAGCATAAAAATACAAGTGAAGTATAAAACAATTCGTACCTGATTGACAACATATGAGCTTCAGGATACTTATGAGTAAATTGTGATCACTTCTCGACCACCGCCGCGGACCATTAACACTTTATCAAGTCCTTCAGTCATTACTTCTAAAAATTCCATATCTGTCAATAAAATAAGGTAAGGGAATATTTGTCTATTATGCACATATTTTCTTTTCATATATCAAATAATATTTACGGTTATGATTAAGAAATATTTAATATATAGTCGCTGATCCAACATTTTGCAAATGAAAATAGTTTCATAGATTTCAAAAAAAAAGATTCCACGTGTATTACAGTTTATAAAATGTGTAACAAATAATTAATGAATGTTATTTTTATCAGTAATGTAAATGGATTATAAACAAACTATGGAACACCTTAATATTTTTGAAGATACATAGGTTGAAGTTAATGAAACACTGACAATAATATCTAATAATAAGATATAAGCTATAAGCTATAAGTGAATATTTTGTATTTGTAGAGGAGGGTTTAAAAAAAAAATGCAATTTTATCTCAGACTATGAATATATTTAAATTAGCAATAGGTCATAAAATATTATATAACTAAATAGTTATTTTTTAATCTTAGGGGGCTACCTGAGCTTCTTCAATTTTCACCAATGAAGATACTATTTACTTAATATGATACATTAAATAGAAACTTGTTGCAAATCAATTCTGAAAGTCGAATTTTCAATAGTGAATAATAATTATTATATAACTAATTCACACAATACTGACGTGCAAATGATTACTTGTAAAAACCTTAACTTATAAGATTTTATTTTTTGATATATACATTTAATTTTTAATATATTATCTTTTTTATAAAATGTAGCTTATAAATTAAATAATAAATGATTCATTAATTTATTTGCTAGAAATTAGTATCGATATCATTGTCGATGAATAATCATAATGTTAAAAACTATTAATTACATTAAACCAATATAAGGAAAAAAAATATAATTGAATCACAAGTGTTTTGTTATTTGCTAAGGATTTGCAGAGATATATGAATTTTATAAAAGGATACAATTTGATTCTCTTTCAGACTCTGTGTTTTTGGGTGGGCCTGGTAGATTAAATATTACCAACTGAGCATCCCTCGATCGGCTCACAATGATTTCGTTTAATTTCACAGCAGTATGCATCCTCCTTACATTATCTTCATCACTATATCAAATCAATTAAGGATGAGATTTTTTAATTCAAATTTTTAAATATTTGTTAGAAAAACTAATTATTTAAATTAATTACAGTTGATTTTTATATACAGTTAATTCTTTATAACACTTACGGCCTCAATGTTGAAGTAGACGAATCAGTAGTTTCTTTCTTTGTTGGATCTTTAAGTACACCAGGTTTATCTTCATTATCATTTGCGCGTTTTTCAGCGGAATCATCCATCTAAATTGTTAATAAAATATGAGATAGTCATTGTTCATGTTTTATCATTATGGTACACTCACGGTTTTTGATTTGTCTTGGGCATTTGTTTCTTCTTGGAAACGAACTTTTGTGGCAGATCTTCCTTCCGATAAGTCTTTTCTATGGTGTTGGTCAATAATGGATTGTACCTAAAAACATTTCAATTATAATTTTTTTTTTAAATCATTAAAAAAAATAACGATACTAATCACATTCAAAAAGACAAAAATTATTATAATTCATGTATATGGATCTTATATAATATATGCAGTGATTATACCTATCGGTTTTGTTACCGAAGTGTATAAATGATTTAAATTGTCTATAGTTGAGTTATGATGTCACAAAAGAATTAAATAGAAAAAAAGAAAGACAAAAAAAAAAATTCCTCAATATGTTTAAGTCAGTTAATAACTAAGAATGTATTTAGAGTTTAAGATTGAAGAAGTATACTAACCAAAATTGTATATTTTAAATAATTAAGACATAATTTAGAATATTTAAATGTGAAAATGGTCAACTCTATGTGATAAAAATATATAGATTTTGTTATAAAGACAAATATATAATATTTTTAATTTGTTTGGTTTGTAAAATTAATTTATTAATTAATTTATATAAATTCTATTAAAAATTAATTATTTGATTGATATTCTTCTTTAATCTTAGACCTCTATACTCAGAATATTTACTTAAACTAATTGAAATAAAAGTCAAGCGTTATATGATTTACACTTTATAGTTAAATATGTAATACAACTACTTTTACAAAAAAATATATTAGAAATAAAAATACTCTTAACCAACTACAACACAAAACAAAAATCTACTTGTAAATTTGGTAAGTAGAAGTTAAAATATTTCAAAATTAATTTAAATAAGCACAAGTGAGAAACAATAATGTGCAATAAAAAATAGATTTATTGGACGCTGTATTTGAAAACAAATTTAGAAAAACAATCTATATTATTGTAGTGGTATTTAATTAAAAAATAAAATATTTTTATTGAGTAAAAGCAGCACATAGAAAAAATAAAATAAAAGTTAAGAGATGAAAAAAATGTATAAATAAATAAATAATAATACAATGAATAAAGAATAATTAAAATAATAATTACATCGTGAATTTGATATATATTAGAAAGATTTTTACTAATTTCATAATATGATTTAAAATTATTAAGCAACATGCATTACCAATTATCTAACTACTCCAATTATTAACTACTCCAATTATTAACTATTCCGAATATCAAAAGCATACATAGATGATTAAAAATAAATAAAATCGTAAACAAACCAGTGGTGTATTCTCTCCAGTCAATGTTTCCCGATTGAAATCTATGATATTACGCATCTTTTGAAAGCAAAAGAGAAAATAACAAACCACAAGCCGTGTTTAAAGATAATAATAAAATTATTACTTTTATATTAGTTATCTGTCGAACATTATCATTTATTATTTTAATTTAAAATATAAATTTAGTTATAAAAATATAAATATAAACATTTTTGATCCTGCTCAGTTTTGGATAATAAGTTAGGACCTTAGATTAATTTTAGATAATAAACCCAAATAATAATTTTTATTAATAAATAATAATGTTGGACAGTTAACTTATAATTATTATAGTATTATAAACTTATTAACTATTTCATCAATTTTGAATTCAAAATTTTATATTAAATTATACATTTTATAATATTTAAGTTTTATTTAAAATTTATTTACCATTCCAAAAGTTTCCTTTTTGTTGAGCCTCAGTTCTCTTAACATTTGGGTTCTTTGCTCCATCATTAAAGTTCGTTCGTATGTATAGGCTGAGATATCATAATTTGTCTACAATTTTATAAGATGAAATAATTATAATGAAAAAATATTTTTATGATAAAATTTTTTAAAGTTGTTTTTTAATCTAATATAAAGTATTTACCATTTCTACAACTTCAACTTCAGCAGGTATTCTAAGTTGATACAAAAATGTTTTGAGATCTTTTTTCATTTGTATTGAATTGTCATCTGTTTGCGCCACTGTAAATATCCTTAGTTTACAATTCTTCCAGGTTCGATGTTGTTTCAGTAAAAATGGGATGAGCATAAGGATACCACCATCATGAACTATCCACCATATATCAATTGTACCTGATAACTACAAAAAAATAATATTTTTTCTAAGTAATAAATCCATGAGGTAAGGATTGATATTTTATAAACATTAATATTATTCGGATAAAGTAATGTTTAGGGAGTTTCCTAATTACACAAGATTTTTTTTATTTTTACCTTAGTCATAGCCCGATTGCGCCTGTGGTAAAAATAACGAGATAACTAAGTTATCTTGTGTTTGGCGTATTTAGAAATATTGTATGTTGTTCAGATAAATTTTAGAAGAGTAATGGAGAGATTCGATCTCCACTAGTCCCTCTACAATGATTTTATATCAATGGAGGGAGGAAGGTTGAAACACATGTTCTCCAAAAATGATATTCCCAAAATTTTAACATAAAGATAAAGTCGCTATATAGATTTAATGTACTCGTATTTTAAAATAAAATATAATACTATGTGTATCCGATAAATTCTAATATTTATATACAAAGTATTCAAAAAGTTAATAAACAGGTTAATTGTTACAAACTATGAGAATAATAGAAACCCTTTTCCTTACTTACTAAACACCCTATAATATATATGCCATACCCTCTACTGCTTAGCTGAACTCCTTTTTATAGTTTTTAATATACCCCATCTATCTCTATCATAAGTTATTTGATAAGCTAAAAATAAAACTGTATTCAATTACAGGCTTAAGTTAATCTGAAATATTTTTGTCAAAACATTTACTTTTGTTGCAGAATCCGGAAATGCTCTAATTCCTTTAGGAATAATAAGTGCCATTTTAGCTGCTGAAATAATCCGAATGGTTTGTAAGAAAACTTGCCATGAACGGTCGTTTTCAGATTGTTGCCAACTATTAGGCCAGCCTAGTATGACAGTGTTAGGTTTAAGACCTCCGAGACCAGCAATTTGAATTCTGTAAAAAACATAAAGAAAATTTTAATACAACGTTGAACGATATATTTAATTATAAATTGTTTAGAAATGTATACTGAAATACTTACAAATGACTCAATCCTTCTGATGTATCTTTAGCTACCAATACATCTGCGAAGCCTTTAACTTTCTCTTCATCCATTAGCCGCACTAGTTCTTTTTTAGTAGCTTGAATGTCATGGCTAGGTTTCATATAATCACCTTCAATCACTGTAGCAGTAACTGTTAATCCCTTTCCAGCTTTTAGTTGTGATACAAAAGAGAATAATTTTCTATATTTAGGTAAATCTGCATTAAAATTAACAAGCATAAGTATTTGAGGTCGCCAATTTTTTGTGTGTGGAGGCGCATCTTCTAAGCGAAGCAAGCTGTATCGTGCAGCCGATAAGGCTAACCCTCGCATACCATCTCCCCATTCTTTTTCAGCTCTAAAGTAACATAAGAGATTGGTTATTGTTAAATATTTATAAAAAAATTTTTTATCTTAATTAACTGACCCTCGATATTCAATATACTTGTATATGATACCAGCCATTCCCAAAGCTATTAATGCAAAGTACCAGCTTGACATAAACATAACGGCTATACTTAAGGTCAGCCCGGTAAATGATAATGTCCTAAAATTGTTAATGTATTCAAGACAAAGGTCATACGCGTATCAATTAACTAACAGAAATTTACCAGTGATAAAATTTAAATCGAGGCCTCCAGTTAGGAGTACGTAATAATGTTTGTAAAACACATGCTAAGTTTACAAATCCGTAACACATCATGAAGAACATAGCTAACAATGGAGCCAAATTGTCAATGTTTCCAATCAGAATACCACCTTGACATAAAGCTACTGTAATAAGTAAAGCACGCGTGGGCTCACCGTTCGCTGAAGACTTGGCGAACGGTTGTAGAAATGGTATAATGTCATCTTTAGCTATTGCCTGTAACCAAATTAAATATATATATTAAGTAATTAACCATTTTAAAAATTTAAGAGTTTGTTATTAAAACAGTCTTATTTTACTATAATTTTTAGTTTGAAAGATTGACTTACTTGTAAGAGCCTAGGTGCTCCAGTAAGACTCTGAAGTCCTGCCCCTAATGTTGATAATGTAGCACCGACTAAAATCACCCATTCATTAGGCCATGCAATATTAGCAACAACTAAACGACCATTTATACTTTGCCCAAATCTAAAAATAAACAAATAAAAAGAGTAACAGTAATATTTATTATTGATTAATGTCTCTTTTGAAATACTATTCATAATTCTATTAATAATGATCAGTTATAAAATTTCCGTTCGCATTTTTTTTTTTTTTTTTTTAAAGCCTTTGAAATATTTAATATTGTATTTATTGAGAAAATAGATGAGATTTGAACGAAAAATTTTGGAGACCTATTTAATGTTTGACACTTAAAATTATTTTTATATAAATATGATATTTTATTCAATTTTTTTAAAACTATGATAGGATCTACAGAAGTTTAACTCCTTCGAGTCTCTCCCAGATTACTTTTACAACTTGAAGGTACGTATCTAGACTCGCATCTTAAATTTTACTTAATAGAAATATAAAATATGCTTCTATCCTCTGTATATTGGTTCAGTATTACCTTAATCTGTTTTAACTCACATGTCAGCTCTAATAAAAATAAATGTTATGTACTATTTACCGAGAAATTATTTTTAAATAATTAATGAATGCAATTTAATTAATGAGAATTTCATTAATGCAAAATTCTTGTGTCGGAATAAATATTATTTTATTTCTTGTTATAACTTTAATTGTCTGTATCTTGTAATAGTTACATTTCACTTATTTACGTATTAATTTTACATAAATATAATTTTTACTTCTTCATATTTTGTAAATAAATTCGTGTTAATAAATGAGGTGTCAAACTTGTAATCCTATATGTGTCATATTTTATTTAATAATAGTCAAAATTATTCAATACACCATAGACTGACAATCATTATGTGCACTATTAAAGATGTATCACTCTTAGTCCTTTTTATATTATTTAATAGTAAATGTACTTATGATTTATAGCAAATAAAAAAGTATATTTAAATCAGAAATATTGAACAGCATAAATAATGTTTCGAATTACAAAAAATTCGTTTTCTCGAAGAATTTATTGGTTTAAAATATTATATTAATAAAATTATCATAATTGAATATAATTTTTTTAGAGAATTTTCAAATTTAAAGCCACTATTGCGAGATATTATACAGTTTACTGATAAAAAAGTTCAAATGTGTATATGAAACTCATATCTATGAATAATACAATAGCTAGAAATTTATAAAAATTAGTACGTAATTGTTTTATATTCATTTTTTACAAGTGTAATCTTTGAACATTAAAACCATAATCAATAGGTAGTTAGCACTATAATAAGTGTTTAAGTTTAATGAATGATTTCGAGCTTTTTTTTTCTAAATGCAAATTTGAATTCTTAGAAAAGTATTTTTGTCTTTGAGAATTAAAAAAGTATAATTTTTGTTGACCAAGTTCATTTATATATTTAATTGATTTAGTCAACATATAGGAATCGTATCATAATAACAAACAAAAAATATTTAAAACAGTATTCTCTTTAAAAATTTAACAAACAAATAACACTAATTTACTTACTTATCTCTCAATAGTAAACTATCAACTGTGCCTCCTAACAGTACTACAGCTGATAGGTATACAGATGAAGTGCTTATAATAGCCAAAATAGTACCGATAGGTATTGATTTTTGTGCGTCTGCAAGATCTCCAGATCTATTTGAACCAGCCATTATTCCTAAAGAAAACAAAATAAATTTAATAAATAATTGTTAAGTGATTGCTATAATTAAGATGGAGCACTAACCAGTTACCGAAGGAAAAAATATTCCAATCAATATTGTAAATGAAGTAGTTATATCGACAAGCACCATGTTATAGGAATTTTTTTGTGTCGGTTGTATATCTACAACGTCATGACTTCTGGATATATATTGTCCCGCTTCCATAAAATTTCCAAACAAATTTTCTATTAAAAATAAAAGATAAGATTATGTAAAAAGCAAGAAGTTAGTAAATTAATTCTTCATTAGTGAAAGTCTATTGGTAAAATTTATACAAAATGATTGATAAACTATACATAAAACATTGTCTTTAAAGTTAACAAAAATGAATACTGGTAAGTTATAAAAATAAATTTGTTAATTATTTACTAACGAAAATTTTAGTTATATTTTCTTAACAGCTTTCATTTTTAAAAGGTAATTAACTTGTTAACCAGATAAGTTACATACAATTAATCAAACACTCTGTGTAAAAGGTTTAAACTACTAAATATTTAAAATATTTAGTACAATTATCAATTTTAAAAAAATGAAAGTTAAAGAATAAAAACTATAAAAAAAAAAAAATAGCACTGACCAAAGAAAACACCACTGCTGATCCCTCGTATGCCTTTTATTATTGTAACGTTATGGTCAGTATAATATTTATCGCAAAACTGGGTGCCATTTGCACAATAAAGGTTATACAAGTATCCTCCTACATCTTTGTTGCAGTGTTTCAAATCCATGTATTTTAGTAAACGACTTCCCAATGTGCATATACTGTATAATATTAAATAAAATAGCCATATTTAAATATTGGGTAAACATTTTTCACTTTACTACGGAAGTTAAAGTAACTCACTAAAGTTTGTCACTTCCGTTGTAATTGTAAAGTATTCCAATGTAAACAGACATGATGGAAAGCAGCACACAAGCTAAAGCCACAGAAGCAAACTTGTTGACAAACTTCACTCCCACGTATACTATTGAACTCATAACCATAAGTAATATGGTTCCATAAATCCGAAAATTGTTATGCATAGCAGATTGGTTTTTGGTAAAGTCGCCGAAAATTGATAGTTCTGGCGCCATATACGTCTGTTATTAATTACTTATAGTTAATGCAATTGATGTATGAAGTAGTATAAATGTAAAGAATGTACATCCGTTTATTATAACTCATTGAATTACACACAAAAAATTACAAAATTGGACATTTTTTTTATTATATATATTTCTAGATTTATCAGTTATTAATTAATTTTTTGCATCAACTTAAAGTACTATTAGCTTAATTTTTTTAAATGGAACTATACATATTTAATTATCCAGAAAACAATTCTGAAATATTAATATTCCCATAATTTTAAAATATAATTATACTGAGATACTATAAATTTAATATTGTTATAATATTATCAGAATAGTCGCATAATAACATCGAGATTAAGTTTAATAACTGTACGAAAAAATAGATATGTAATATTTCAAAATTAATAATACAATTTTTTTCAGAAAATTGTATGCAATACATTAAAAAAATTTTGTAAATATAATCTATTAATGATATTTAATTTTATGAAATTTTAATATTCAACTTTACAGAGATATCTTCTCAAAATAATATAGCAACTTTTGAACCAGTACATCGAAAGTTATTTATATTTTTATAAGTAAGCGAGAGGTCTAGAAATATTTAATGATATAAATAGTCTTATTTGTGCCTTTCTTTTATTTTTATATTTTATAACTGTTAGAGCTTTCAAAGTACACAAGTTAAGTACAAATCATGTTGTCATTGATCTTTTTTTTTTTTAATTAGATCATTTTCGATTTCATAAACTAGCTAAATATATATGTTGTCATTTAAAAAAATTAAGATAATATCTATATAAGTCATAAGTTATGATGCTAAAATGTAATTAATGACTGATAAATATTCTTCCTCGCCTTAATCCCAACTACTTTGGGTCGGCCAAGATAATGACTGATAAATAAAAAACAATATATGTAACTAAAAAAAAAAACAAAAATTTGTTTAATTTTGTATTTATTTTGCGAGTAATTGAGTGGTTTATAATAAACGGATCATCCTGTATAATTAATATAAGTAAAATATAAAAAGAAATAAAGTTACAAGAATAATTTCGACTGCTCCTATAATATACATTGAGGCGGCTAGGGTAATTCCTGTATAGAAAAGCATTCCAACAGCTCCTCCACACTCAGGCCCCAGAGATCTAGAGATTAAGTAGTACGGTCCTCCGGCAGGAACAACCCCATTTGTAGCTATTGCGCTCATAGATATGGCCGTTAGCATTGTCTGGTAAATAATATTACAACGAATTCTACAAATGATAATTGATATGAAAAATGTTTAAAAAATGCTTACCACACAGCAACATGTTAAAACTATGCCAAACCCATAGATTATACCGGCTGTACCGACGACCCAAGAAAGTCGAATAAATAAAATAACTCCAAAAATATTTTGAACACAAGGTAGGTATACCCCAACCAAAGTACCCATCTTAGCTGGTTGGGCTGTGGTTGGCTTATTTTCTGAGTCCGTCGCACTCGGAATAGTATTTGAATAATTGGCCATTGAATTAAGAAACGTAGCCACTTCTGGACGATCTTCCAATTCATCCTAAAATTATATTACGCTGTTTTTAAATGTTTTATAATATTTATTTAATTATTCATTAGATAAAAAGTTGTAGTTATGTGATATTTTATACATACTTGAGAATTAATTCATTGCTATGTTGTACACCGATTATTTAGTTTAATTTCATAGAAAATTCTAACTAATTATAATAAATTTAGTGCGCGGTCGCGCTTGGTATTTACATTTCTGTAACTCATTGTATTTATCCAAAAGACTTAATAGTTTTTACAAGTTTATTTCTAATTGTTTTGAAGTTAATTTTGTATTTTTAAATTCATTTTATTTTAATTTAGCCATTCAATTAAAGTATATTATTATATATTCCAGGAGCATAAGAGTAGTTAAAACAAATTATAATTAAAACAATTTAGTTGGATCATGAATTATAAAAGTTTTCAGTTTACATCTGTATCATCTTGTATACTATATCTATGTATTTTCATAACTGTTCCGTCTTAATTGATTATTTTTTTATATATGTTACAATAACAAATTGAGTGAATGTAATTTCAGTAGTACAAATAAAATAAATTTGTGCTTATTTACGACTATCTACGAATAAAAATATCTTAAGACTTTATTATTTTATGTATAAATTTTATATAAAATGTATAAAAAGATAAGGAAAAAAAACATTAAATTAGTGTGTTATAGTACACACTTTTATCTATCAATGAAATTAATTTTTTCAATAAAACTTTCATAAAAAATGATATAACACCTGTCATTATTTTGCTTAAAATGATAAAAAATTGTATGACATAAAAAAAATATAATCAATGTGTTATAACAACACATAATGGATATTATGTATTTCCTAAATAACAGATGTGTCCTTAAGACTTAAAAACAATTGTTTTAATTGCTTTCTTTACAAAAATGAATAATAAGGCCATTGTTTTATATTAAATTAAATTAATTTAACATTTGTCAACGTAATTTTAACGAAAATAGTTGTAATTATAAAACAAGGTTATGCATATGCCAAGTTTTTATTAGCAATTATAACCATAGTGATTAAATTGTGCAGTCGTGTCTAACATATTCATGGAAAAATGTAAATAATTAAAATATCATCCAAAAAATGTATGAAAAAAAAATTGTAAATTAATATAATATCTGACTATTTTAAAGTACGTCATAACTGTGTTGAAAGTTTTGAACGATCTTTATCAACAATAAGGTAACTTTTTAGTAACATTTTAAATTATTCAAGTATATTTGAATTTCTTTTATAAAGATATCCTATTTTTAAATGGACATTACAAATTTGTATTTTTATTTGAGATATCTTGTCCTTGGCAACAATTTTTTAAAAATAAACGCATAAAAATAATCATTTGTGGGATAAATTATAATTTATACAACAAAGATTAGGTTTTTATTTTCAAATATATTTTTAGCATCGATGCGAAACTGTGAAGGTTTTATTTTAAATATGTATTGACATACGTTGCAAAACAGTGGCCATAATTTAAAGACTAAGATATTATTTGAATATTACTACTGTAAAATTAAAATAATACATCAGATAAACATCTGTTTTGATTTCAGATATTTAAATAAATTAAACTAATTATTATTATATAAAAATGTAGTACTTTCAAAAAATTATCCATTTTATATTTTTTGACATTATTGTTACACGTTCTAGTAAAGGTAATATCATTACGTGCTAGATTTGTCAAAGTTAATATTTAAATATAATTAAAAAAGTTCGGAGCTACAAAATCTATTAATAGAAAGAGAGTTAAATTCCCTAATCAGCTACACATTAAGATGAATGTGATAATTAAATTTAATAATAACTTCTAAAATATTAATTTCAATTAAGTGTATATATCACTACATATTTTTGTTACTAAATACTTACGGAATATAGGTATAAATTCGTTTCATATCCAGAATTTCTATTTTTTTCTGGTCTATATGTTTCATCTTTAATATCACCTAAGAAAAAAAAGAAAAAAATATATTTTAATTAAAAATTTTATTTAAAAAATGAATTACTAAGATATTATTAATAAGGATTTAATCAAAATTTAAATTAATATAATAAATTAAAATATTTTATTAAATTTTCAGATAACTATTTTTTAACAAATATTTAATTTATAACACTAAAATATAAGTAATTTTTCCTAATATTAAAAATAAACTAGTAAACAATTCGTCATTATTTCTTAATTTATATCATTAAATAATATAATATTAATAATTTTAAATTTCTTCATTTGTTTCATAATAATATGATGCAGGGATGTATAATTCATGAAAATGTAATTTAAAAGTAAATCAGTTAACATTTTAGGACTCTATTAAACTACTGTCGAAATTATTAGTCTGTCTTGGATTTTATATTTTAGCTTTTAATTTATATTTAATTCATCACAAAATTTCGAAGAACGTATCGATGAAAACTGATAGTTTTAGCAATTGATTAGACAAATTATAAGTTTGCTAATTAGTTAACCATTATGTATATCAAAATTTTTACGTACCCGTTATTTCTATCATTTTAAATAGTTATAATATTCTAAAAATTTGTCTAAAATTAATTTGTAAATTATACTTTTAGTTTATTGGAATTTATAATTTAAATGAAAGGTTAATCTTGTTTTTATTTTAATAAAATCTATAAGTGTATTTATTGTAAAATAAAAAATTAATAAATTATAATTTTGGTCTTTATACTTTTAGATTATTTAAATTTTTTCGTTAATTTTTGAGTCGAAATGTTTTTCTTAAATATTTTGTATCAGTAAAAGTTGTTAACTATTTAATAATTAATCAAATCTTCCCTTAATAGTTCTTAAATGTAAGATTGCTTAAATTATGACTAAGTTACAAGTTAACGGAAAGTAGACTTGGTGAAATATATTGTACAATACACACGGAAAATGATGCTTACATTGAATCGATTTTAGCAATGTGAAAGCTGTGTGTTGATCGTCAAAATTTAACAAATCTTTAAAACTTTAGATTTGATATAAAAGCAATAGTTAAGTACTTATGCAGTTGCAAAAGACAAATGGGTTAATAAAGGAACTTGAAAATAAGCACCCGTTTCTCTAGTTTTTACCACTATAATATTGTCAAACAATCCGAATATAAAATAAACTATATCGTTCTATGGTTACATGAGAAATGAAGCTATTAGTAGTCTTTTTCTTTCGAGGTTTGTTAAAAAAATTGTTAATAAAAAATGTTGGTTTTAATGTATTTTTAAAAGCTTAGAAAATAATTACATTTAGATTATTTTCATTATAGTTGCCTAAGCTGCTGGCGATTTTACAAAAGGATGTATTAACAACATTTAAGTAGTAGTTAATTATTAAAATAAGGCGAAATTACTTATCGCTTAATATCCATTAGCATGTTGCCAATTGGGTATCTTGGAAAAGTAAACCAATTAATATAAACATATCAATAGAATAATTAATATATAATTTAAGTTAGAATTCTAAACTTACAATAACAATAATTCAGTTGAACAAATGTTACTGAAAATATTGGTAATTACTTGACAAGCTTTCAAATTTTATTTTCATTTGTTGCTTATTAAAATACACTTGGTATTTATTAAAATTGACCCGGGATATTAAACTACATAGAAATGGAATTGTGGAAAATCCACAATTTAAGTTTATTCGTACTAATAAACTTAATGGAATGCACACACATTTTTTTATTTATTTATAAAATGCTTTTGTTTAAACAATATAAACTTTGGAAACTGAAATTTCGATGGGAAGTCTTAAATAATAGTGAATATCATGCGAATAATGAACCTTGTTACCTATTGCAATTAAAAAAAAACTATTTCTCAGTAAATTTATTTCTATTTCTTAATTTTGTCAAAATAAACAAAAACAATATTCAATAAAAATAAAAATGATTTAGATGTTCTAATATCTTTATCATCGAAGTTATGTTATCAGACATTGAAGTTTTCAATGTTATACACTTTACATTTTCGTTAAAGAAATAATTAACGACATTTCTTAAAGATATCTCGTTGTATGTATGTGAGATAACAACATGTATTTGAATCCTAACTCTCCGATCATCATTAGTACTTCTCGAGGTTACTGCAAGTTAATATCGGTCTTAAGTTAGCATTTTAAACACATAGATGGTAACTCAATGTTAGGTAAATTATATGTAAAACAAATTACTTATGCACTTAATAAAAATAAAAATAATTTTTTTAAGAAAAGCAACTAAAACGCAAATGAAATACCTGATATGTTTATAACTCTTTACAAAATTTTTATAACAACATTAGACACTTTTCAAAATAAAAATGGAATCAGATTACCAGTCTTTGTTCTTGTGTACGGATAGTTATGGTTTTTGTTTGTACTTTCTTTTAAAAGATAAATAAAAAATATTCTGCTAAAGGCCTGAATATTTCATGGAACCTTCATTAAACACTAGCGGTTTTGTTATTTTTCTTCTTCAACATTTTGGCCTTTGTGTTCTTTTTCAATTCACTAATGAAACAACTAGAGAAAAATTAAAACAAAATGCAAAAATGTCCCTTAATTAATTCTTTAATTACCGGTCTTCATGTTCGTATGAATTATTCAACAATTTAAGCGTACTTGTTTGTATATTCTCTTTTAATATTTCGAGAGCTATGAAAATAATCTTTTTATCATCATTTTACACGACTAACTAATCATTCGAATTAAGAATACATTTTTGAATCGTATAGGTTGAAATTTATGCATGCGGATAGTAAATCATTTTATATTTTTAATAACATTTGTGAGAATTATTAAAAAAAAATCATCACACTCTCCGCTCTAGTTTTTCAACTACCTTTAGATGTTCGTTTTTGAATTATTTTAGATTTTTCGTAGTTAAAAATTAAAATAAAAGAAACGATTTGAGACATCAATTTAAAATGCTATATAAATTCATAATAAGTTATTTCATAATTTATAGCCTTTCACCGAGATGCACTGAAGTTTTCTTATGCCAGGTCAAATAAGAAAACTAAGTGATTAAAACAAACGGTTCCATATCAACCTTAATACTAACTATATTTTTAAAATTTTTTTAGAATGTGAATTTTTATAAAGTTTTTTATACTATGGTGATGTATCAGTGATCTTTGGCTTAATAACTAGTTATTATTGTTATTTGTTAAGTCAACGGTGTTGACAATAAGATATACATTTCTTAATTTTTATTATAATTGAGGTGATATTTAAATTTGAATCGACAGTGAAATTTACTAATAAAGACCTACATTCCGGGATGGGTTAGGTATAGTTGCCGAAACGATGACAGACATAATCCACCTGTTGTTCTCAGCTTGTTGTTTCTATAGGTAAAATTATGATGCCAGAGTTGGAAACCAGCTGAACATTATTTCTTTCGCTGAAATAATCATTACCGAAGAACAGAATGTACAGAACGAAATTTTTAACATTCTTTTGATAGTGATATGAAATAATTTTAGTTACACAAAGAAAGTAAAATTAAAAACAATTTTTGAAAAGGCAATAATAATAATATAAATCATAGTTTTGTTATTAAAAATTAATTATTTTTTCTATGACTATTTTCAAACGTTTTTTGTGAACTAAGGAATTTCATATGTTTTATTTGAAAAATTTATTTAATTGAAACGATAAAGAGAGATTCCTTAATGCGTTTTATAATATAAATAAATAAATTTATGAACTAAGAATTTACATTATGGAATATTCAAAATATAATATAAACAATGTCTTACAAAAATATTAATTAACTAAAAATTTATGAAACTATACTATTAAATTTGTTTTTCATTTCAAAACGAAAACAATTTTGTCAATGTTAAAATTATAAGCTTTGATTAAAAATTATTGTAAGTTATTGTAATTTTTATTTTTATTACTTTAATATTATTATGCTTAAAGTTATTATTTAGTTGCTTACAAAAATATTCATGTATTAGACATCAGATTAATAATAAACGTTTTATATTGAGTACCTTTATGTAAAATTAAAATTCACTTTTTTATTATGTTCATATATTAGGTTCCATGCTTACATTAGCTATATTTCTTAGAGTAGCTTAATTTCTATTTTTATTTTTATATTAGTAGTTTATTTAATTTATATAAGAAATAATATAGGTATTATCACCTAGTTACACCTCTTCAATTTAGAATATATATCTAAAATAAGCGCAAATAAATGTTTACTCATAGAATCGCATGACAATTTTAGATTACTCTTGTATATCTACGTTTTATAGTTAGAAGTTTAACGACTCATCAAAAATAAATTATGCTAAATACAGAATAAACATATCACACGGTACTGGTACATTATCATTGCAAACAGTGCCAAGTCAAATCAAGGACAAGTTGTTGAATATATGAAACGATAATTTTACAAAATGTTTTTAAATTTATCTAGGGGTATCTTTTAAGGGTAATACTCAATAGTTAAACGAGAACCTAGAATATATTTTTATGCTATTAATTGAACTGAAAAAAATTTTGATTGGTCAATAACCAATTTGTAATATTAATGTTAAGTTATTATAATTTTTAGGTATAAGCGATAGGGGTAATTACAAATCTGGTTATTAAACAGTCAAATTATTACTTAGTCCTGTCTTCATCTAATAGTATAAAAAATATTTTAGGGTTTCATTAAATCTCGAACTTTATCCTTAAAAAATGTCCTTAGACATAGTTTTTTTAAAAATTAACTTAATACTCACCATAGAGTACAAAAATAAAAAATATATTATTCGGTCGGGTTTATCAGTTTACGTAAAAAAAAATCCATTATTTAATAAAAAATTCATGATACCTCATTCTATATGAGTTACATTATTTTTGAAATGGAAGTTCAGAGTTTGTTTTCATTATTCAGTTGTACTTTAATATTTTTATAGTAAAATAAAATATTAATTTATAACACAAAATTTATAACATAAA